GTGGTGCGGGGGAGGTGCGGGGTGGCGGTGAGCGCGCGGTGGTGCGGGTGAGCGCGGGGTGCGGCGGTGAGTGGTGGAGCGGGTGGGTGCGCGGTGGTGCGGTGGTGCGGTGGTGCGAGGGTGCGGTGGTGCGGTGGTGCGGTGCGGTGGTGCGGTGGTGCGGGGGGTGCGGTGGTGCGGTGGTGCGGGGGAGCGCGGTGGTGCGGGGGAGCGCGGTGGTGCGGTGGTGCGGGGGAGCGCGGTGGTGCGGTGGTGCGGTAGAGCGCGGTGGTGCGGTGGTGCGGTGGTGTGCGGTGGTGCGGGGTGCGGTGGTGCGGTGGTGCGGGGCGTCTCACTGCAGCCTGCGCTCGTCTGGAGTCCACAGACACTGTCAGAACACACGTCCTCAGCGTGTGGTTTGTCCACAGCGGCGTGTGTCCTCATGTACCAGCTGTGTTCAACTTTTTAAAACATCTTATCTGTTCATCTGCCTCACGTCAGCGCGTCGCTTCTCGCCTTTTGAAACTCTTGAAACTTGAAAAAACAGGTTTAAAAATCCTACCCACTTTCTTCAGTTTCTGTAAATTCCAGTGGACGTTCTCTTAATGAAGAGCGTCTCAAACTGTGTTGACTTGGTCGTTTTATAAACAGCTCACAAACTGAAAAAGTGTGAGCACCTCTGGTGTACATATACACTACATACCTCCTACCTCACCTGAACACTCCCTCTACACACTCTCTATCTCTGTCCTCTCTTTCTCTTCCTCTCCTCCGTCCCTCCATCTCGTCCTGAACTCCATTAGTGTCTCTCTCTCTTTCTCTCCTCCTTCTGTCTCATTCTGAAGTCCATTAGTCTCTCTTTCTCCCTCCTCTCCCTCCTCGCTTTCTCTCCTCCTCTCCTTCTCTCCTCCTCTCCCTTCGTCTCTTCCTAAAGTCCATTAGTCTCTCTCTTCCTCTCCTCCTCCTCCTCTTCCTCAGTTTCTTGCTGGAGTCCATTAGTCGGTGTGTGACAGAGGAGCCTGGGGCGGAGCAGATAGGGCTCAGGATTAGTCTTTCTCTCTTCTCTCTTTCTCTTTCTCTCTTTCTGTGTGTGTGAAAAAAAAAAAACACACTGTTATTAAACATTATTTTGGCGGCGCTGGTGATGTATGGAAATGGAAAAGGGGAAATTCGATTAGCATTTTAAAGTCTGTTTACGATTTAACGCCGAGGCTTTTCAGAAGAACTCAGGCGCTTTTACCGACGTCCGTAAAAAGCAAAATTATATATTAAAAGAAAAACAGTGTAAAAAAGACGATGTGTGAGTTTGTGAAAGCAGCGCTCCTCCTCTGCGCGACTGAAGTGAACCTCGTCCTGTAATAGCTTCTGGGTGTAATTTTTGCAGTGGAAAATAGGAGATGTTCAGACATTTTTTAAGCCTTTGTGGAAATGATTTGATAAAAAACACTTTGATAATCCCTGAGTTGAAGAGGAAAAGTTTGTCTTACTCGTCCAGGAACTGTACTCAGGTAAAGGACACGAAACATTTTTAAAAACAGGACAGTACAGGACCGCACCCGCCCGCACCCGCCCGCACCCTGCCCGTTAACCCGAGATTATGTCAAACTTTTGCGCTGCCTACATCACGGACTGAATCAAGACTAAACCAGGACTAAAACCAGGACTAAACTAGGTCTAAATAAGGACTAAAACCAAGTCTAAACCAGGATCTAAACCAGGAAAGAAACCAGGTCAGGACTAAACCAGGACTAAAACCAGGACTAAACCAGGACTAAAAACTAAAAGGACTAAACCAGGACTAAACCAGGACTAAACCAGGTCTAAAACTCAGGTCTAAACCAGGACTAAACCAGGACTAAAAACTCAGGACTAAAACCAGGACTAAACCAGGACTAAACTCAGGACTAAACCAGGACTAAACTCAGGACTAAACTCAGGACTAAACCAGGACTAAACCAAAACTAAACTCAGGACTAAACCAGGACTAAACCAGGACTAAACCAGGACTAAACTCAGGACTAAACCAGGACTAAACTCAGGACTAAACCAGGACTAAACCAGGACTAAACCAGGACTAAACTCAGGACTAAACTCAGGACTAAACCATGCTGTGTGCACCGCGCCTCCTACGCCTCCAGTCCGAGAAAATATTGTCCCAAAAAAAGCGCCTCCACAACTTAATAATTCCCTTGTGAGTCAGAACACCAGAAAATAAAAAAAAAAAAAAAAAAAAAAGCTCAAGTTCCGCCACTCTGACCAAGGAAGGACGCTTGATAAAAAATGGAAATGCCGCCAGTACGACAATTAGGGCAAAATCTCCTGTCGTGTGGCGACCTTAAAAAAAGTGTGTGGAATCAGAATCAGAAAATGGCTCCGGTCAAGTGGTAACGGAGGGAAACAGGGTCAGATTTTTGACATTCAAATGTCTCTTATTCAGAAACTAGAGGAACTATTGAAATAAGTAAAGTATCAGAATGTAGGAAAGAGTTACACTCCAACAGGGTCAAGTTAAACCTGTGAGATTCTTTCAAGTTCAAGACAAAAAATGTAAAAACTCATGTCGGTAACGGAGGGAATGAAATATGCAGCACTTTTTGGTCAATAAATCCAAACAGTGATAACTCTTGGTTCTCACTTACATATCCTTAACAAACTGGTTTGAATATTTGCTTCATATAGTTTTCTACCATATGGTACAAGATTAGGTTGAAAAACCTCTGACTTTTTGACTCATGAGATTTTTTATTAAGAAAGTTCATGGTAACGGAGGGAAAAGTAACGGAGGGAAAATTGTGCAAACAAGTAGAAAGTGCAGGATTTTACATCATTTGTTGCTTTTTTCTTCCAAATACTTGCAGGTCTTTGAAATTTGGGAAATGATTTTTGTTCCATGTTTCATACATGGTCTGTTTAAAACATATGGAACTTTAGAACCAAAAATGGTTCAGAAAAAAGGTCAACAGTTTGATAAACTAGAGTACATATGTATCTGTTCAATACATTTTTATATCAGATGAATTAACTTGAATTTTTGGCCTTGTTGTTTACTTCTGCTTGGCCCATATGTGGGTTGCTGAGTGAAGTTTTTAATTTCTTCTGTGATTTGGAAGGTTATTGTTGTTTGATTCAACCTTTTGGGCTGAAATACCTGTTTCCTCCGCTCTGTCGTCGTGTATGTGTTTGTGTGCAGGCGAGGGAAGGTCGAGTTTCAAATAATATTTGAATAGTTGTCATCAGTTTTTGAATAGTTTTTTTTGCCAGAATTTCACATCCTTGGCTCATACAAATGTCAGTACTCAGGCAAGACACATGAAATAATGTGTACAAATCCTTTAAAATTCTTAGTCTGTCCTAAAATTCTTCCTTCACATGACTTTTTTTTGTTTATGGACGCAATTTTAGGATTATTAGTTAACAGTCTTTATTCTGAATTGTTCGTTGCTGTGGCATCAGTCATGTTTGTCTTGCTGTAATCTAATGTACAAAAAAATAACAAATGTTTTAACTGTTCTTTGCCACATTTGAACCTGTTTTAGAAGTTGTAATCCTCTGTCCCGTCCTCCTCCTCCGTGCGCTGATCCTTCATAAACTGAGCCTCATGTGCATCTGCCAAGTACATATGTTTCTGTTCATACATTTTTATATCAGATGCATTAACTTGAATTTTTGGCCTTGTTGTTTACTTCTGCTTGACCGGGACCAAATATCGAGTATCGAGTCTTTTGTTTAGTATCGAAATCAAGTTTAAAGTTCCGGTATGGTGCCAACACTAACAGACAAAAGCAGAAAGGCTCTTGAACACTTGTTAAACCGGGTGTAATCATCAGAATCGTGTGGCGCCGCAGACGTCTTTATCAGAGCTCGGGGTTTCAGAGTGAGTTCTGAAAATTCCTGCGGACGGGACGGGCTTTGAACGCAGCGGAGCTTTGAAGAGGCAGAAGGTGAACTCTTGTTTTTTAGCTCTGATGAAATCTGCGCCCGAGAATTGAAACGTTTCTCTTTTCAGATTTTGCAGACGGCTCCTCCGCTGGATGAAAAACAGACTCTCTCGTTCTGTAATGTTTACGGCTCACGTTCGGGAGAGAAAACCTCGAGCAGATGAAGCGTCAGGACGACTTATCAGAGGCTTTTTTGACAAACTGATGATTTTATATAAACTCTAAACCATTTTAAAGCTTTTAAAATCACAGATATTTGAGAGAAGAAGAGGAGAGAGGGTGGCCAACACTTCACCTCCTCCTGAAAGAAGAGAGAGAAGAAAAGAGAGGAGAGAAGAGAGGACAGAGGAGAGAGAAGAGAGAAAAGAAAAAAGCCTGAAACTCTGATAAGAAACACTGGATTTACAGGTGATGGAGAGAAAAGGAGGGAGAGAGAGAGACAAGGGAGAGAAACAAGGGAGCGAGAAAAAGAGAGCGAGAGAGAGATAGGTTGAGAGAGGATGCTGAGAGAGAGAGAGAGAGAGAGAGAGAGAGACAGAGAGAAGAGGTTGAGAGACAGAGAGAGAGAAAGAGCAAGAGCGAGAGAGAGATGAGGTTGAGAGAGAGAAGAGGTTGAGAGAGAGAAGAGGTTGAGAGAGAGAAAGAGAAGAGGTTGAGAGACAGAGAGAGAGAAAGAGCAAGAGAGAGAGAGAGAGAGGTTGAGAGAGAGAAGAGGTTGAGAGAGAGAAGAGGTTGAGAGAGAGAAAGAGAAGAGGTTGAGAGACAGAGAGAGAGAAAGAGCAAGAGAGAGAAAGAGAAGAGGTTGAGAGAGAGAGAGAGAGAGCAAGAGAGAGAGAGAGAGAGAGAGAGAGAAGAGGTTGAGAGAGAAAGAGAGAGAGAGAAGAGGTTGAGAGAGAGAGAGATGAGGTTGAGAGAGAGAGAGAGATGAGGTTGAGAGAGAGAAGAGGTTGAGAGACAGAGAGAAGAGGTTGAGAGAGAAAGAGAAGAGGTTGAGAGAGAGGTTGAGAGAGAGAGAGAGAAGAGGTTGAGAGAGAGAGAGATGAGGTTGAGAGAGAGAGAGAAAGAGCAAGAGAGAGAAGAGAGAGAGAGAGAGAGAAGAGGTTGAGAGAGAGAAAGAGAGAGAGAAGAGGTTGAGAGAGAGAGATGAGGTTGAGAGAGAGAGAGAGAGAGAGAGAGAGAGAGAGAGAGAGAGAGAGAGAGAGAGAGAGAAGAGGTTGAGAGAGAGAGAGAGAGAGAGAAGAGGTTGAGAGAGAGAGAGAGAGAGAGAGAAGAGGAGAGAGAGAGAGAGAGAGAGAGAGAGAGAGGTTGAGAGAGAGAGAGAGAGAGAGAGAAGAGAGAGAGAGAAGAGGTTGAGAGAGAGAGAGAGAGAGAGAGAGAGAGAGAGGTTGAGAGAGAGAGAGAGAGAGAGAGAGAGAGAGAGAGAGAAGAGGTTGAGAGAGAGAGAGAGAGAGAGAGAGAGAGAGAGAGAGAGAGAGAGAGAGAGAGAGAGAGAGAGAAGAGGTTGAGAGAGAGAGAGAGAGAGAGAGAGGAGAGAGAGAGAGAGAAAGGTTGATGAGAGAGGGAGAGAGAGAGAGAGAGAGAGAGAGAGAGAGAGAGAGAGAGAGAGAGAGAGAAGAGGTTGAGAGAGAGAGGAAGAGTATTCAGAGTACAAATTATGAGTAACTGTATTCAGTTACAGTTACTGTTTCAGCGAGTGGTAATTGGATTACAGTTACTTTGTTGAAATAAATGGATTACACAGAGGGATTTAACTGTTTTCACATTTCGGACGACATTCATTGCTGGACACTAAACCAGGTCTAAACCAGGACTAAACCAAGACTAAACCAGGTCTAAACCAGGACTAAACTGTGTCTCAAACAGGACTAAAACAGGACTAAACCAGATCTAAACCAGGACTAAACCAATACTAAACCACGTCCAAACCAGAACTAAACCAAGACTAAACCAGGTCTAAACCAGGACTAAACCAAGACTAAACCAGGTCTAAAACCAGGACTAAACTGTGTCTCAAACAGGACTAAAACAGGACTAAATCCTGCCGTGCAGACAGTGTTTCCTCTTCTTCTATCAATAATATTTTTAATTTGGTTCAGTAAAATCTGGGCTTTTCATTTTCTTTTATCAGACAAAACTTCTTATGTGAAGATTTCCTCGTCTTTGCTTCTCTACAGCAAATCAAGTAATCCAAAGTATTCAGATTACATTACTCACTTTAAGTAACTTAATGCATTACGTTACAAACTACATTTTGGGGTTTGTAATCTGTAATCTGTAGGGGATTACATTTTAAAAGTCACCTTCCCAACACTGCTCAGGTCTTTGCTCATCTGATCAGACACAATCATGGATCTACAATATTTTTATTATAATTCCGCCGGCGCTGCAACAGAACCGTGCGTCTAAACTCCGCCTTCGCTCCTTTGATCAGGAAACGCGTCTACATTTATTAAGCGTCGTTTTACAAAAGCAGATTATCGTCTGAGGAGAGGCCGGACGCAGTAACACAGTTCTTCACGTCTCAAACTCTACACCACTTTATATTTGATGAAAACTGTGCTCGTTTTGGCCGAGGTACGTTCATAAATCGCAGCTGGAAAAGCTTGTAGCGTCACGAACTCAGAGTAAATCTAATTTATTCTTCTAGAGTTTCTTTTGAGATTTCATTTAGCAGATTTATTTATTGCTCTTGTGCTGTAACAGAAGTGAGTAGTGGACTTAGTGGACTTCACACTGTCGTATCGGACTGGGAGCGACGAGGACACTAACGCTCTGCTCCCCAAACTTTGCCACAGTCCGGTTTTATATTCCACAATATTTCATATTTTTTTTAAAGACCTGTTTTTAGACCTGTTTTAGACCTGTTTTTAGACCATGTTTTAGACCTGTTTTTAGACCATTTATAGACCTGTTTTTGACCTGTTTTAGACCTGTTTTAGACCTGTTTTTAGACCATTTATAGACCTGTTTTTGACCTGTTTTAGTCCTGTTGTAGACTATGCTTTTAGACCTGTTTTAGACCCTGTTTTATTCTTGGTTTAGTCCTCCTGGTTTAGACCTGTTTTAGACCCTGTTTTAGACCTGGTTTTAATCCTGGTTTTAGACCTGTTTTTGTCTTGGTTTAGTCCTGGTTTTGTCCTGGTTTAGACCTGTTTTAGTCCTGGTTTAGTCCTGTTTGAGACCTGGTTTAGACCTGGTTTAGTCCTGGTTTAGACCCTGGTTTAGACCCTGTTTTTAGACCTGGTTTTAGACCGGTTATAGACCCTGTTTTTAGTCCTGTTTTTGGTCCTGGTTTAGACCTGGTTTAGACCTAGTTTAGACCTGTTTTGGACCCTGTTTTGGACCCTGTTTTTAGACCTGTTTTTAGTCCTGTGTTTACACATGTTTTAGTCCTGGTTTTAGTCCTGGTTTTAGTCCTGGTTTAGTGCTGGTTTAGACCTGTTTTAGACCTGTTTTAGTTTGGGTTTAGTCCTGTTTTAGACCTAGACAACACAAACTTTAAAGATCGACTTAACAAAGTAAAGGTGTTTTTATTTGACTTTTTAACCATTGAAACTCAACACTGTCAGTGTCTGTGTGCTGTGACCCTTGACCTTTGCCCTCAGAGCAGTGGAGGTTTTCATCCGGGACAAGTACGAGAGGAAAAGATACTTCGACAAGGACGCGCTGCCTCCGGTGAGTACTGCTCTCATTCATGACTTTGTTTAGTATTTACTAGGGCTGGGCAAAAATAAAAAATAAAAATGAATGGCATTAATCGCATGAGTTTGTGTGCGATTAATTACTATTAGAAAAAATCTCAAGAAAAAATATTGAATGAATTTTTGTAATACTAATATTTTTTTTTTAATATTTTTTATTCAGTGAATAATAAACACGACACTAGTAATAATTTCTAGATCATTGTTATAAACTTGGACTGATATTTCTTGGGAAACAAAGGGTTAATATAATGGAATGGAAATGGACCAATCACAGTTTTTCTTCCAGTTGTATCTGGGTAAATCAGTGACTCCCCCTGCAGCGCTGAACTGAACACAACACATTTGTAAATCAAGAACTTGAACGTGAATTTGTTCAAATTATGTGAGATAAACGACGTACGTCACTGTTGGGGTTCAATTAAATGTCGGAATTTGTTTTCACCTGACGAGTGATGATCTGTTCGCACTTAACCTTACGAAACCACAGCCGTGTGTCAAAGCGAAGGCGGCTCCACCGACAGCTCTAGCAGAACGTACTGACTCCTGTGTTTCTCAATGGGAAAAACGATCAAACTTGACAGTGTTTAGCCGCTTGTATTTACCTTCTGTCCAGACTCACCACGGCAAACGCAAGGATTTCAAAAGTACATTTCAAAGCACTAATTAACAGTTTTTGTGGAGCTGGGCTCTTTAACACGATGCAGAACTGCCCAGGAACACGATGTGCTGATGGTAAATGCACAAATACAACAATAGATTCATGCTCTCTGTGTATTTTGACGGGGATACATGCCTGTGTTTGAGTAGAGCATCAAAAAAATAGGATGGACCCTGTTTTCTGAAATCTGCACACGCAGGACGAGCCGCTCCAAGCACATGTAGCACGTACAGAGGAGCCGCCCTCATTCTCTTTCCATGCATTCTTCAAATTACGTGTCCAAAAGTTGCAGTGACGTCCCTCTGTCACAGAAAGAACACATATAGTCGTGCTCTTTAGTCCGACAGAAGCTGATGCTTTAATTTATGCAAATTAGCCATGTGATTTTAAGTTTCGTATCTATAAAATGTAAACAAATGTGGCAAAGCTGCATTAAACACATTATAATCTCAAACAGGCTGATGTGGATCGAGTGTTTATGGTTAATATCTTGTAAAGTTGTTGTAAACTGGAAGTCAGTTTGAAAAATAAGTGCAGAACCCCAACCCTAAAAATAAAATGAACTGAACTTTGAACTAGTCCTAAATTAAAATTGTGAACTATGAACGTGAACTGTTCACTTTGAACATGTGTGAACTGAACTTTGAACTAGTTCATGAAAAGTGTGAACTTGTACGACACTGGCTGTCGGTCGGCTGTCAATCATCGCTCCAGAGTCACACCCGCTCCCCCCAACCCTCGGGCACCTCAGCCTCTGGAGGATGGTTCAGATTTTGCTCAGGGGCGGAGTAAAACTTCAGGAGCTCTGACTCTGTTTCTGATTCTGACTCTGACTCTGACTCTTGTAACTCTCTTCTCTGACTCTCTGACTCTGACTCTGAGCTGACTCTGACTCTGACTCTGACTCTTTCTCTGACTCTGACTCTTTCTCTGACTCTTTCTCTGACTCTGACTCTTTTGACTCTGACTCTCTGACTCTGACTCTTTCTCTGACTGACTCTGACTCTTTCTCTGACTCTGACTCTTTCTTTGACTCTGATTTTCTCTGACTCTGACTCTGACTCTTTCTCTGACTCTGACTCTGACTCTCTGACTCTGACTGACTTCTGACTCTGACTCTGACTCTGACTCTGACTCTGACTCTGACTCTGACTCTGACTCTGACTCTTTCTCTGACTCTCTCTGACTCTGACTCTGACTCTTTCTCTGACTCTGACTCTGACTCTCTTCTCTGACTCTTTCTCTGACTCTGACTCTCTTTCTCTGACTCTGACTCTGACTCTGACTTTCTCTGACTCTGACTCTTTCTCTCTGACTCTGACTCTGACTCTTTCTCTGACTCTCTGACTCTTTCTCTCTGACTCTTTCTCTGACTCTCTCTGACTCTTTCTCTGACTCTGACTCTTTCCCTGACTGTGACTCTGGCTCTTTCTCTGTGGCTGAAGCGTAGAGTTTTGACTCGGCTCCAGCCTCGGTCCGTGGAGGAGCAGGAGTCTGTAGTTGGCGACACTGTGGCTCTTCCATCCATCACAAACACTTTAGTCCAAACACTCATGGAGAAAGAAAAGTCCCATAAATCACCACGAGACGTTCGAGTTTCTGTCTGAGTGGCAGAAGTTACACAGTGGTTGTTTTGTGACAGTTTGTCCGAGGGGCGTCCAAAAATATCAAAATATCGATATATCGGATTGTTTAATGTGATGATACAGTATTCATATATCTAGTATTTATATCTAGTATTTTTTTGGTATATTTTTCTAAATTATTTTGTTACAGAGCTGCAGTTTTGTTGTTTGTTCAGAGAAAACTCATTTATGTCACGACCAAACAGCAGTGATTGGTTAAATAAAAAAAAAATAACCCACCTACCGTCGAGCGAACGAATCAGACGGTTTGTACGAAGTGAAACCATCTGATGAATCAGGCTCATGTTTAATCCCGGTGTCTTGTTGATAATGTGTGTACACTGAGAGTTTTTTGTACAAATTGTGTATTTCATTTTTTAAATTGACATAAAATAATCAAACATGAATATTTTTAAGGGGTGAAGGGTTCTCTTTAAAATGGAGTTCTTCTCTCAAACAGAAAAAAGTCTATTCCACTTTGTGATGTCACGTGGTGATACAGGAACTTAAAATCCTTTTAATTTCTTTTAAAAATTGACTGTGCGCCGTATGTATTAATTCTGGTTGTGTTTACTGACCTCGAACAGATTTTCTGTGGTACACGGTGCTCAAAAATCTGTCAAAATGTTTTAGTTCGACTTTGGTAAACTACGAAGAACGATTGATGGATTGTCGAAGCATTTTTAGAACTGGATCTGGTGTTTTTCGCTGGTCTTTAAAAGGTCTTTAAAAAGTCTTAAATTTGGTGTTGTCAAACCTGGGGATACCCTGTATTAGGGATGTCCCAATCACATTTTTTTGCCCCCGAGTCATTTGATTTTGAGTATCTGCCGATACCGATCCGATCGATACTTCAATAAACATTATGAAATGAAATAAGAGCAAAGAATCTTAGTGGTGGTGTGTTTATGCCAAGCCTCGGTTGTCGTGGGAAGTATTCCTTGCCAGGATTCGAGCTCTATTTGATTGTGACCAGGTTTTCTGCAAAAAGGTTTTTTTGCAGCCGAGTTGCTTGTAGCTCTTCCAAGTCCGACCGAGTCCCGAGTCATTTTTTTTTTGACTATCTGCCGATACGATTATGATCCCGATCTGATACTGCTCCTATAGCCAAAACATTGAAATGAAATGAAATAAATAAGCAAAGAATCAGATCCAGGATGTTTGGAGGATCAGATTGTGTTGATTTCATGTGAAGTATTTGGGCTGAACTTGTGAAAAATCAAATGTCCAAAACTTTAATTTTAATTTTATTTTTTTTTCTAACCATGAAGCATCATTGTTGAAAATCTTGACTTTTCACAGTTTGGTCTTGGAATGTGTAACTTATTAAACTTAATGAACTGAACAAGACAGGAACCAGACCAGAACCAGATCAGACCTGACTCGACTCTGCACAATCTACACAGAATGTGCATTATATTTAAACATTTAGGCTCGTCTATGATCCAAATAAAACTAAATCTTCCCAAATACAAACAAGATGACAGAAGCTCCACAGCCTCTGTCCCCCACACCAACACCACATCCACAAACCCACAGAGCAACACCACAACATCAGTCCCAGCGCTCAACACACGCCTCACGTTGCTTTTCCCACCCTCTCCACCAAAAGCGCCAACTCTGTTGCACAACATGCAAACAAACAGCACCGTGTGATGACGCCATCGGCCGCGCAGGTGTGAACATGAGCCACAAAACCACAGGTAACAGCACCTGAACACGACACGACCCAAAAGTCCCAGTGTGAGTGTGTCTCTAGTACAACAGACGCTGGGACAGACAGACACGCTGACGGGACGTGAACAAATCCTGCCCCTCAGTAAGAAAAAATAAATAAAATGTTGTATGCTGTGTATATGTCAGAAAATAACACAGATATTAACACAAAGAAACTCAGAAGGCAGAATTCAGGGTTTTTACTCGCGGCGAGAGACAGAGGCACCGCGTGTGTACTGTGTGTATTGTGTCCTGTGTGTGTATGTGTGTGTGTGTGTGTGTGTGTGTATGTGTGTGGTGTGTGTATTGTGTGTGTGTGTGTGTGTGTGTGTGTGTGTGTGTGTGTGTGTGTGTGTATATTGAAAAACTCTTTAACAGTATATATATATATATATATATATAATATATATATATATATATATATATATAATAATAAAAAATGTGTTTCTCACCTTCCACGGTGGTTGGTCTCTCACCCTCATTCAGCTCAGGTCGTCTACCAGAGGCCTGGGAGCTTGAGAGTTCTGCGCAGTATCTTTGCTGTTCCCAGTACTGCACTTTTCTGGACTGAGATGTTCCATTGTTTTTCCCGGTATCTGTTGTAGCCTCTTCCAGTTTGGGGGTTACAGCCCCGAGTGTCCGATCACCACAGGCACCACTGAATGCCTTTACTTACTCTCTCCAGCTCTTCCTTGAGCCCCTGGTATTTCTCTAGCTTCTCGTTGTTCCTTTTTCCACCATCGCTTGTATTGTGATGTCAACCACCACGGCTCTGCTCTGTTTCTTATCCACCACCACTATGTCTGGTTGGTCCATCTCCATTCTGTCAGTCTGTATCTGAAGTCCCACAGGATCTTGGCTCGGTCATTCTCCACAACCTTTGGAGGTGTTTCCCACCTTGATCCTGGGGTCTCCAGCCCGTACTCTGCACAGATGTTTCTGTACACTCTGCCCGCCACTTGGTTATGTCGC